TGGGGGCATTTCTAACAAGCATGGCAATTTCAACTAATATGGTTTAAGCTGTATACAGTGTGAAGAAGAGCTTGTAGTTCCTTAAAACTAAAATGATTCTCAACCTTTCCAAACATAGTGACCTGTCAAGGTCAAAACACATACGGGGAAAAGAAAAAAGATTCAAAATACTCAAAGCTCAGTTTGTAAAACACATAATAAATACCATATACTAAGCTACATTTAGAATAAGCAAGCAGCTCTTATTAGGGTAACAATGAGAATTTGTATGAAAATTAATACATTAAGTAGAATTACAGTCACTTGAAGCTCATTTATATGACAAGTAAAATGGAGAGTATACTGCAAAATCCCAATTGTTTGAAAACAAAATAAATAAATAAAAAGAAAATGTTAACTTCTGACCCCACAATTTAGGAAATTATTCCATTCCTAAAGTAATCAGTCTGTCATCCAAATAATTCCCTTCTCATTAATTACAGGAAGTGATAACTACAAGCCAAATTTTCTGTCTAAAGTTGCTATGGCATTTTGCTATACAATAATTTGGCTCATGACTTTCAGTAGTTGCATTTCTAAATCCACAAGATTTTGTCAAACATTTTTCTTAATATGATTGTTCATATTAAGTAGATAATATAGAAACATACTCATAGTCCCCATTCAAACAAATAAAAAAACCAAAATGAATATCAAATCTTTTCCACATCTCCCAGTGAAAAACATCTAGAGCTAAGAGTAGGAAATGTTCCTTTAGCCTAAAACAAACTTGGAGCATGTGGATACAATGTCACCAACCAGAAATAAATCCAATTAATCTTGGTTACCAAAGAGACCTTTCTCTATTTCTCAAATTTATCCATTTAAAATGTATTCTAACAGCCCAAGTGCCCATAAGCAGATGAGTGGATAGAAAAACTGTGGTACATTTACACAATGGAATACTACACAGTGGTAAAAAAGAAGGAACTCTTACCATTTGCAACAGCATGGATGGACCTGGAGAGTATTAGGCTAAGCAAAATAAGACAGTCAGAGAAAGATAAGTATCACATGATCTCACTCATATATGGGCTCTAATGAACAACATAAACTGGTGAACAAAATAGATCTAAAGACATAGAACCATGAACAGACTGATGAATTTCAGAGAGAAGGTGGGGCGGAGAGGACTGGAGGGGGAGAAATTAACAGGATACTTATGTGAAAATATGCATGGCCCACAGACATAGACAATAGTGTGGCAAAGGCTTGGGAGTAGTGGGTTCAGGTTGAGGGGGTCAATGGGGGAAGAAAGAACCACAAAACAGACATCTGTAATACTTTCAACAATAAAGATAAAATTTAAAAAATAAAGTAATTGTTGACAGATATGTAAAAAAATAAAATAAAACAGCTGAAGAAAGAAAAAAAAGTATTCTAACTTCAAAGAGGTGTTATTTCAGGTCTCCCTGATCTCCCACAACTGATTTGGTGTGGTTGCTCTGTGCTTAATAGTCTGTGCATAACCTTATCACAAACTGAACAAAGAGTTCTAAGGGCATTCTTTTTTCTCATCTTTCTGTTCCAGCACCAAACCCAATGACCAGAACACAGGAAGCACTCAAGAAACTTAATGAATTACATAATCTATCTATATACATATACATATACATATACATATACAACATCCCCTGAGGGCTCCTGGGCTTCCAGAGGAATGTCTGACTGGCAGCTTAGGCCCAATCCCCCAGGGAATGACCAGCAAGTGGTCACTCCCTGAGGGGTTCCAGACTGTGAGAGGGCACAGGTCGGGCTGAGAGACCTCCCTGAGTGCACACATTTTTGTGCACTGGGCCTCTAGTATATATATAAGGAGGTAATATGCTAATTGGTACTAATGGTGTCCCAGTCACGACCATTCAACAGACTGCACAAACACAGGAGCTGGTGGGTGGGGGCGGGGATTTGCACCATCAGGACATGAGGATGCCTCCGAGGGCGGCCCCCATGGTGGAGGCGCCTGCAGGCCCACCGCACCACCGGCCCAGAGGGGGGCGTCAGGACAGGCCATGGTGGTCCCCCTGGAAGAGGCAAGTGCAGCCCTGTGGCACCACCTGGCCTGGAGGGGGGCTTCAGGATGGGGGCGGAGCCTTGATGGAGAGCTCTCAGCACTCCTGTGCCTGGGTCTGAAGGCGTGGAGAGGAAGGGAGAGCAGATGGGCAATTAGGGGGGTTAGGCCAGGAGGGGAGAGCAGATAGGCAGTTAAGGGGATCAGACAAGGAGGGGAGAGCAGTTAGGGGCATCAGGCAGGCAGGCAGGTGAGCGCTTAGGAGCCAATGGTTCTGGTTTGCAAGAGGGATCCCAGATTGGAGAGGGTGCAGGCCAGGCTGCAGGACACCTCCCCCACCCCCATGCATGAATTTTGTGCACTGGGTCTCTAGTTAAAGAATAACTGATGTGAATGTGTTGGTTTGAAATCTGCATTCCCAAGTAAAGTAAAATGGTGTCATACTGCTCCTCATGATATGGGGTGGGGAATGAGAAACCCATGAGGAATTCTGTGAGTTCAAACAGTGTGGGTAAGAATGATTTCCATATGCAGTTGCTGTTTTCTCCTTCAAGTTGTCCTGTTCTCATTATTCTTTTCAAATATACACAGTTAAAGATATTTGAGAAAATATACACAGGTAAGGATGTTTTCCAAATATCACAAAAGAAACCTGCTTTAAGAAACCTAGTAGGAATAGATTGAGTCAATTATTCCAAACTACATAAATAGATTTAAAAATTCTGCTATGTTGTTACATGGAAATGACTCAATTTACTTGATCAGCTAGAAAAATAAACTATAAACTTTATTAAAAATATCATTAGTAGTAATCTTGTTGTAGAGGAGAATTTGAGATTTTCTTAGATATTAGATCAGCTGGACTTTTCCCATAACATCTCAAAATTGGGTTAGGGTTGATTTCAGGAGTTTTTACTAGTGGATGCTGGCCTCATATTGCCAATTGCCTGTTCTAAGGCCCCATCTTCCTCACCTGAATTACACCAAAGTCCTTCATACTAGTAATGGTCTTCCCATTGTTTAGTCTTCTCCTTGCATTCACATAATTCATCTTCCACCAACTCCAATTTGATCACTAAATCCCATGATAAAAAAATCCTTTATAGCTCTCTGGCCTTGTGTAAGAGCATATTGAAGGTATTGGGTTTTAGGACAAAAGAGAGATGATATAAACTCTACAGTAGTGCTTCTCAAAGTTAAACATGTTTCAGAAGGACTTGGAGAGCTTGTTAAAATATAGATTCCTGGGCCGCACCTATAGAGGTTCAGATCTAGTAGATCTGAGGCAGAATAGGAAGGTACATTTCTAATAAGCTCCCAGCATCAGGGAAGGTGCTGATCTGTGGACCACACTTGGAGAAGCTCTACTTCCATCTTCTTTACTTTACACACTCAGTTTCCTCTCAAACAAAGTTTTCATTCAAACAAAGGATTTATTTAATAACAGACACCCAGTCACCTACTCTAATGCTCTGTCTGGGCCTACAAATAAGAAAACTGACACCTGGAGAACCAGGTCACCTGCTTAGTGGAAGACTGTTCTGTCCATTCTTCTTCAAACCTTCGATCTCATATTAAAGGCTCGCACTATATTTCTACTTTTCTCTCTTCTTCTCTATATCACCAATCTCTCAGTTCTGTGTTAGCTGGGTCATTTATCCTTCCCCAAACAAAACAGAATCATTTTCTTTTTTACTTCAAGTCTTTCCTACCACCATTCTTTCTGCGCCCCCTTCTCAAAAATATCTACTGTAATGATATTCCCAACACTTTGAATTGAACTCATTACCTTTTTTGACACTAATATCTACTGTACTTCAGGAACACACATGCATGGATGGCACATCTTGGACCTCAACATCACCCAGAATTGGGCCACCTCCAAGATTCTGGACTCCCAATAACGGATTATCTTGACAATAGCCTCCTAGGTTTTATGACTTCTTGCCTGCTGTCCATTCTTGCTTCCTCCTAGGCAATCAAGGTAATCCTTCCTTGAGCTATACTTACCAACCTACCCAGACTGGATGATGCTTCACCTGCATCCTCACCAGAGTTCTAGAGTGCCTGCCTCAACTTTCTGCCAAGTCTGTCTTGCCAATCTCCTTCACAGAATTAATCTAAAAAAATGTTTTTTTTCTATTCCTAGTCCTCTAAGCATTGTTGGTTATGGTCACATTACTATGTTGATGGAACCTTACTAATACCCTCAGCTAGATCTTCTTGCCTCAAGCAGACAATTTCTTCACCCCCAAATGACTCTTCCTCAAGCTTCCAAAGATATTCCTCAACATTTCCATAATCTTGAACCCCCAAGTCTGCTCCAATACCTCCCATTCCCATTGTTGCTAAAGCAAAACACAAGTCTGGGGCAAGACTGAAGAGGGTTTATTAGCATGCCACACTGTGTCTTGTGGGCACTGAGAGGCCATTCAAAGTTTTACTTTAGAAAGATCACTCTGGTGGTCGTGTGGAGGATGAATTAGAACAGGGTAGAAGCAGATAAATGAGAGGGATTCAGCAAATACACAAAGAGGCCATGGAAGAATAAAGAAATAAGAATGACTAAACACTGTACTTTCATATAGTAAGTACACTACAGGCATGCGTTGAGCTAATTTATTCTGTCTCTGATTCTGAGGAAAATATATATAGAAAAACATTTACTGAACTTAAAAAATGTATAATTGAGACCAAGAATAGTTTTGCTATGCCTTGTCATAAGGCAAATGAAAGCTATTGTGCAATAGACAGATGGTGCAATGAGATGTAAAATGAAATTAGCAATGATGAAACCCACATGGAAATGAGGGGAAGGTCGATATGTTAAAAGTTAAAGGAATTTGGCTCCATCTTGTCTCGCTTCATAAAAGACTGAGGTCATAGTTTAGTGGCTTTTATTGCAGAAAGCTGCAGGACTATCCATTGTGCCAAAGAACCAAATACTCACCCAGGGTTGTTCAAAGCTATAAGTGCGTCGCCGATCTTCTACATCTTCATCCTGCTTTGCTTGCTGGAACTCCTGTCGTAGACGCTGTATCCGATCATGGTTGCTAGTAGTTGACCTGTTGCTAAAAGAGAGAATGGGCAACAATGAAAACCCTTCACAAATACAATCTGTCCCTTGCAGTTACTGGAAAAAAGGGCATCTTGCTGGCAGATGACACTATTTAAGAGGAAGTGAATTTTAAAAACAGTATCTGGGCATTTGAAATATGCTTTCATTTTGATTAAGACTTATTGAAGTTATTTCAGACAAATATTCAAGAGGGAGAATAGTATTTTTAGACATTCCTTTTTCACAGGAATGTAAAACCTCATTTCCTTTCTGTAATCTGGCAAGGTGTCCACAGAAAAACTTTTTGGAGAAAATATTGCTTTAAAAGTCAGAAATATCAGGGTCCAGTCCTAGCCCCTCCACCTTCTTAGACTAAGGAACTTAACGCTGCTAAGTTGCAGTTTATTTAAATATATGAAGTGAACATAATAATCATTTTTTTGCTCTAAATATCATGCTGTTAACAATCAAGTGAGAAAATACCATACAATATAGTCTTACAGTATTATTTCATAATGCCATTACATAAAGTTCCTACTTATGCAGTATCAGAGGTCTATGCACAAAATGCAACTCTCAGAGCATAAATGAAAAGCATTTTTAAAAGTAACTTCAGGTGCTAGCTTGATGTAATCAGTTAGTTCATAATGATGTTGCCTTCTTTTTTATAGCAATGAATTTGACTTTATTCTCACAAATGCTTATAACATAAGCTCAGAAGGCAGTATTACAACCCTACACATACACACATACCAATGTAGAAACTGTCATTCAAAGAAGACAAGTAACTTTTTAGAAGCCTCCCAGCTGCCCAGTATTGAAAGTAAGACAAGAATCCAGATTTTTCTGGATTCTAGAGTCTAGTCCCATCCCACTGTGCCATGCCTCACTTAGAAAAACACATATTGTATTCCAAAACCCCTCCTTTACAAAGTCATACAAATTTTAAAAACAGTATTTTGAAAGAGTAATAGAGATGACCAAAAGTAAATCAATCTTACACCTACTGCCACTTTTGGTTTATTCCATTCCCTGAGCACTATGTTGCATCCTACCAGAAAAGCTATTCAAGTACACTAGAAGTATACTGTCTCCCCAACAAGACTTCAGACCTGTTAAGGATAAGGACCAACTCTTATATTTATCACATTTACCCTTCAAACTGCTAGCAGAATGGTAAGCGGTAAGTTATTAGGAAGATGAAGTCTCTTCACTGAAAACAGGTTGCCCTGGATACTCAGTGTGTTACTGAGTTCCTTTGGCTGCACACACTCCTGAGTGATGAAATTTATGAGGTATCTTGGAAAAATAAAAGTCTGTTATGGTAGAGTACATACAATTCTCAAACCAACATGTCTTTGCATAATTACACATATTTTGAAGAACTGCAAAGGCTTAAAAATCTGAAATTGAAAATGTTCATGTATAGGACCAAAGTATTAACATCTTCCATGAATACAAGATAGTCTGTTACCATTTAATCTACTGGGTTGATCCCTATCACCTTTATGTTTTCATCAATTTCATTAGAGCTTCTGGAATATCTTGCTAGTATATTCAATTTGGTTATTTTCCCAGTCAATAAAAGGTTGTTTTTCTTCTGACAAACCTTTTGAATTGATTAGCCTGAGAACATTAAAGGTGAGTAGGTCTGTAAAATGTGCTACTTGACAACATGAGGCTTCAGCTCATAGTTATATACAGCTTTAAAACTTGACCTCCACACTCTTGAGCCAGGCAGGTTCCTTTTCCTATTGGCTTTTAAAACATTTGTTTGAACAGATAAATTCTCAGTACTGTCTTCTCAATGTGATGCCCAGTTTCTCTCTGTGAAACTGTGATGGTGTAGGCATGAGAATCATTACACTCACAGACAAAGAGATAGAAAAGTGAACATTCATTAAGTTCATTGCCATCTTTCCACTGTACCTTTTTCTGTTCTGGGCATACTTCATAGCTTTCATAGGAGTCTTGACCGACAAATATAACTAGAAATATTTCTCTATTATTTTCATGTAGCACAGATAGCTTCAATCCAATAATTATTAGGTTCATGAAGCCCACGCCATTGATGAAAATTGACTTCTAACTATTTGCAAATAATTGAAAGTGTATCGCCCAACAGGAATTGACCCAGTATTCTTCATTTGAAATTCTGGCAACTTTGTGTTTTTCATAGTATTAGATGAGTCCTGGAAGTCACCTCACTCTTATTTCCGAATCTGAGCAGCTGGTGAGACCACTGTAGCACATTCTTTTCCTTTCCTCCTATGCCCTAGAGAATGCCAACCAACTTGCCTAACACTAGGAAAGCCCCCCTCTAAGGGTTGAAATTAGAAAGCAGGCTGCAATGGTTTTCATGATTGATGAGGACTTCCAAAGACTGGAAGGCCATTCAGCATCCTTGGGGAATAACATTGGCATCTGAAGGTAAAATCCTGGCTTCAAGCGATGAAACCATTGCAGCTGCTCACTTCTGTTTCTCAGCCTCATCTATAATGATTCAATAATTCATACTTAGACTTCTAATGTTCTTGGTTAGCTCTTCTGCCAAGAAAGCCAAAGGAAATTTTAAATTTTCATTAGCACTGAAAACTTATATTTGGGTTCACTGACAACTTAAAGTTGCTCATTATATTTTTGAGAAGAGTAGAATAAATATACCACCTGAGTCAATCTGATGGGTGAGTGAGACAATAAAACTCAATAAATCATCTATATATATAAAAGCCTAATATGCAAATTGTCCACTCGGGAGTTCGACTGGGAGACAGGAGTTTGACATGTGCTGACCATGAGGGGGCAGCACAGAATGAAGGAAGGCCCCAGCCGGCAGCTGGCAGCAGGGGAAGGGAGGCCCCCCGCCGGCAGCCAGGAGGCCCCAATTGGCCCTGATCCCAGGCTGGGCCTAGGGACCCTACCTGTGTACGAATTTCATGCACCAGGCCTCTAGTAATTTAATAATAGTGAGCAGAAAGGAAGGGTGAGGACAGTAAGATAGTAGAGTCCAATACTAACAGTTAGTTTCCCCTTATAATTGGTACTTGTAGCCCAACTAAAACTTAATTTTACACACACACACACACACATACATGTCCCAAAAATGAATACATACTTTAACAGGTGATAGCTCAATTTTGAAAATAAAATGTCTTTTAATTAACACTGCTTTTATAATTATTCAAAATGTGTGTATGTATTTTTTGGGACACCCTATATGTTAGCTAAATAAAGAGGGTTAGTTTTGGTTCAGAACAGTCTGATTTAAGAAAGGATACACTGGATCACACACTCTGGAGATTCCTAACCTGGCATGCATGTCAACACCCTGAAATATATGGAACTCTAAGTTTTCCCAGCCATAATTATCATGGGATGTGTCGTCTCCAGTCAGAGGCAGACCACACAGTGTACTAGGCTTTAGAACCTTCAGATTTGCCTACTGCAATGTGCTTCACAAAAGGGGCTGAACGTACCAATTCCTGCTAACTGCAGCCATGGTACCGGTCCTGTATCTGTGCTCCACAGATGGCAATCCAACCATCTCTTTAGGAAGAGTGAATGGGAAAAAATTTATGGCAGCAGTCCTCACGTACGCACATTATACATGAGAGCCGTCCCAAGTGCTTGTTAAAAAATGCTGATTGACTGAGATTGCCCTGGATATTTTCTGACTCAGTAAGTCCTGTGCAGGGCCCAGGAATCTGCTTATGTTCAAACGCACTGCGGGTGCTATGCGGTGAATACTTTGAAAACAATGCCCACAGTCTTCATAGTCGGGACAAATTCCAATGCTTGCGGGTCATTAACTAAAAAGTGAAGGAGACCCCACTGGAAGCACCAACGTGTATTCTGTGACAAATTTGAGTAATATGCTTGGTCTAGAGGGGAGGCTCTTACTTGGTTCTAGTAAGTTGCTGCCCTGAAGGGATATAGGTCTGGTGATGGGTCCTAATTTTTTTTTTTAAAAAAAGTCAGAACTACAATTTTCGCCCCAAATTTTAAATGTTGGCTTTTTTAAAGATCCTAGATAAGCCCCCTCCCCAAAAATGTCTGTTGTGTACTATCTTGCAACTTCTACTTTATATTCTGCAGCTGCTGCTGACTTTATAGTTGCTTTTCTAGGTCATTTACTTTTACTGCATCAAGACAAGGCCAGTGGTCCCCTAGTCACAGTCCCAAAAAACAAATGTTAAAACAATGGGCATTGTGCGTATAGTCTTGTCTCTTGTAAAGTGTCTGCTCCCTCTGATCTGTCAAACCCTGATTACACTGACTGCCCTGCAGGCTTGAGTTCTGGCCTATCTTTTCAGACCTGTATGTGCTGAGAGAGAGGAGTTTGTGATGTGACTAATTCTTTATGGAGTAAAAGTACGTTCAAATTTACATTTTTAATTAGGGAAAGGAAATCTGAAAATTTGAACTAGAGGGCACAGCTTTAAGATCCAGAATTCAATGGAAGGGAAAACAGCCACTCATTTTTTTAAAAGGGAGGTACCATCTTAGAATACACTCTCCTTCCCATGGAAGAAAAAAAGGGGGAGGGAAACAGAGGGAGGTAATGAATCTTGGCAGGCTTTTGATGGTGCTCATAGGGGAGATAATTATAATCTCTATCATAAGAGAAGAGAAATTACCAAAGAAAAGGGTAAGATAAATCTGTTTATATCTTTCTATAATAACCTCTCCTTTTTTCCCCATTTTTTACAATTCTACTAGTAAATCTAAGATATCAAATTCCACTTCCTTAAAGCCTTTCCTAAGGCTTCCTTCCTGTTCTTTTCAATTCGTCAATAATACTAGTAAGTGTCCTCTGACCCGAATACTGTTTAACAGTTTTATGGAACTTACATGTATGTTTCTCTTTCTTAAATTTTTATACCTTTATCACAACCACTTAACATGTATATATTTTGTATTTTGCATCCCTGTGGCAGGGAAAATTGTTCAGCAAATATTTGTGATGGACAGACTTTAAGGTGGGTGCATGATTCCCACCTCTTGCTATTCACACCTTTGTGCAAAGCCCCACCCTTGAGTGTGGGCAGCCTGTGACTTGCTTCT